GGATACATACATATATATATAGATAGATACATATATATAGAGATAGATAGATAGATACATATATATATATGTATGTATGTAGATAGATACATATATATAGATAGATACATAGAGGAGCGATCAAATAAAAACCACTCAAATTTATAAAAACCATAAAAACTACTCTCATCCGTCGTAATCTTATGATATTTTTTCATGAAATTGTTTAATCTTATGAAATTGTTTCATATAATATTTTTTTTGATGAAGTTGTTTCATATATGGTTATGAAATTGTTTCATATACTACTTAATGAAATTTTAAAGAAACAGTTTCATGTATTTCTCTAAAATTAAAATAATGAAGATGATAATATTCATGATTAACACTCTCCACAATAAGAATGGTTAATCAACCTCTCATAATTACAAAAAAATGAACAAAATGAAAAATTATGATTGGTTGAATAAGGTTTTCACGGTTTTTACAAATTGAGTGGTTTTATTTGAACGCTCCCCTAGATACATATATATATATATATATATATATATATAGATACATACAAAACCAACTAGTCTAGATACATACATATATACATATATATAGATAGATAGAGTATTTACCGGTGTTTCCATAGTGGCAGCGGACGGTGGTGGATGGCAGTGGGCGGTGGTAGATGGCGGCGGTTCATGGTGGTTGGTGGCGGCGGACGGTGGTGAATGACGGCGGACGGTGGTTGGTGGCGGCGAAAGGTGGTGGATGGCGGCGGATCACGGTGGTCGTTGGCGGCGGAAGGTGGTCGGTGGCGGCAGTTCACGGTGGTCGATGTCGTTAAACGGTGGTGGATGACGATATATCGAAGAATGGTGGTCGTTTTTGGTCGGGATGGTCGGTGGGGATGGTTCAAGCTCGGTTTTTCTAGAGAAAACGAGCGGTGGGGATGGATGGTGAACTAATGGTCCCTCACCACTGCCTATTTATATAAAACATTAAGTAATAAAACAAAATTCATTATCAAATCGACGTCAAATCGGCGTCAAATCGGCGTCATAGAGGCGTTATAGCATGAAAAAACGCAAAACGCGGTCAAGCTACGTAAATCAGATATAATATCTGATTTTTTCTCCAAAAATCAGCTAAAAATAATTTTTTCGTAACCACAATTATCATTATCTTATTTTATAACAAAAAACCATGAAAATTTTACTTAAATAGGTTAAAAAACACAGTTTATGTATTGTTTCATTTCTACTAAAAACACCCCTTAATTGTCAAATCAAGAACACTAAAAGACGAGATAGCAGTCAAATTTCGTAAATCAGTTATAATATCTGATTTACGAAACCCAAATCAGATAAAATTAATTTTTGCGTCTCCATAATTATCATGGTTTATTTTTAAACTTTTAACCATGAAATTTAGTTCTAAAAAGGTTAAAATATACAATTTAAATAGCGCATCAGTTTTATTAAAGATACCGCACAAAAAAAACACCCCCTTAAAGGTTGGATCGCCCCCAAGGGGTTATTTTGCTTACATGGCTCGCCCTAGGGGGGCTCGGGAACGGATTACAAGGGTGCAAAGTAATAACTTATTTTTAGGATTAATGTGGGACCCACCAAAATATTTTTTTTTTCTTATTTCTTAAGGATTTAAGGGGATCGCCCCCAATAGTGTACGGATCGCCCCCGGGGGGATTCGTGTGGATATTTTTGCAAAACCTCCAAAAAATGGTTATTTTGTTAGAGAAGGTTGTATAAAATGGTTAGTTTGGTGATTTTCCCAAAATAAAAACAACTTTGAGTTGGCTTGTCCGATTTTTTTTGAATTGCACATGTCTGCCCATTAAATTTAACGTGCAAGTTTGAGTACGTCCATTTTTTCGAAATGATTGTCTAAGTTTGTTATTCTATTGTGCCAACGACTCGTCCTGAGCAACTCCAATTGTCCCTACAACAATAGCTTAGAATGTAAGGAGTTGGACATCCTTGGAGGATGGATGAAAGATGCAGTGTTTGACTCCGGAAGCTAGAGTTGTGCAGAAAATCAACCGATCCAATTGAAACCGACCGACCATAATTGAATATCCAGTTATAATTGGATCACATTTGATTGAAAATTTTAACATCAAATTTGGATCAGTCGATTCTTGGATGACAGTACAGACAGACCAAAACCGACTGAACCGAACCAACCAACATCCAATTAAGCATCTGATTACCATCCAACTATCATCCAATTAATTTGTTTTCAATTTGCTTCAATCTGAATTTGTTTTGTGTTGGATTTTGAATTTTTAGTCTCACGTGTGTTGGTTTTAACATATCAATAGTGACTGATCAATTTATGTAATCGTTAGAAAATTGGATTAAATTCACATACCGAATGAATTAGATCTGATCTGATCATCTATTGGATATTGGATGGGTCTAATACGATCCATGGATATCCGATGAATATTGAATCCAATCTAATGGATATCCAATAAGAATATTCAATGGACGAAATCGAACCGATCCAATCATCCATTAGATTGTTAGATTGGATCAATTCAATTCAGATCGGTTGTCAAATGCTAATTGGATTTGATCGGTTGACAAAATACAACATCCAATGGATGTCAACCGATGAACAAACCTGCTAAAAACTACCTACTAGCCCCTAAGAGGCTAGGACACAATTTACCTCATCTATGTTGATCGTGAAACTAGTACGGTAATGGCGCTCCAGATAATGGCGTCATCAAGGGCAGACTTAAATGAAATGTTGTGGGAGGAAATGCCCCAACTCAAAGGTTAATTTGGGTAAAAAGATTTTTTTACTCTTACGTCTTTAATTCCTCCTAGTCATTTACGACGGCTCCCCTTAGTGGTCCATTAGTTCCCACCCCACATATTTATTGTTTTGTTACCGCTAATTCTTGCAATCATGCTAAAATGATAGCGCTGGTTGATGGTTTTTGTTAAATATATCTCAATTCCTTGTTCTTTTAGTGTAAGAATAAATCACTTCACCTGATGTTAACTTTATATATGCTCAAACCAAATCATCTAATAAACATAGCAAGTCAAATACCAAATAGTTTGTGCAAAAGGGTTTGTAACCGACATTCCTTGAGAATCATGTGAGGGGGCAAATGAGATACACGGTAACCCGTTAGGTGGCAAGTCAAATACAGTTCCAAAACCAACTGTGTTACGCCCCAAGGGAAATACCAAACAGATGTGCAAACCAAAAGTGGCCCAAGTTTCAATCGCAGCAAGACATTACTGGAAGCTGGAGTGAAAGTGAATCATATGCTCACTTGCCCATTACTGGAAGTTGGAGTGAAAATGATTTCAATCAACAATTTAGCATTCAGGAAATGATTTATCCAGTCTTTACCAAGACATTTCAAACCTTCAATTACAATGCATCTCAACTAGAGAGTTTTCCTTGACAATTACTAACAATAATAACTGGCAAAAGTTGGTACTCATACATTTCAGGTAATAAATTGAGAAATTATTCTGTTTGTAATGCCGATATATACAAGATAACACTATGAAAGAATTAAGGATGACAGTGGAAAAGTTGAATGAAAAATATCAAATAGAGGGCAACTTGTTTTTTCAAGTAAAGTTGATAGAAACAATAAATGAGACACTATAAAACAATAGGAGACAGTGTACCTGTGAGAAGATGGTTTACAAACTCCGATTAGAGTCATCAATCATCATCCCTTTAAGGCTTCTTGCTAACCAGATAGCAGTCTCTCTTGGGGAGACTTTATCTTTGCCAAAAGGTCTAAGAACTACTGCCAGTTCTTGCAGCCTATTCTGTTGAAGCAAATCCGCGGACAATTCAAGAAGTCCTTCAAGTGCCTCTGCCCTTTGCCTAGTAGATGTGATATCTAAACTTTCCTTCACTGGTGGCATCTCTTCCTGAATTTCTGGTGGGTTTGGCTTTACTTGCTCTGAAGAATAAGTTGTCTGAATCTGAGAGCTTTCTTTACTACACGGACTATCAGGAACCTCTGATTTCACACTCATTTCAGATCTATCTGACGGTTCAAGAGATCCTCTTGGAGAGGCAAAGGTTTTTTCGGGCTCATCTCTTACCATATTCATTAGCTTCCCTACCTCCAGATTTTTTTCAACACTTTCAACCAAAAACTGCTCATTTCCAACACGAAAGCTACTGTGATGTATCACATGAATCACATCACCAAAAGCTGCTGGTGGGAGCTGCGGAGGAGCCAGTTTTTCAATCGTCGGATTTTGTAAAGCTGATATCCCATCTGACAGCATATTCATTTGACTAGCTGAAACAGGAACAATGGAAGAAGTAGTATCTGCTGCTACATGTGAAACAAATTCTTTGACAGTGAATTTGTCATCACCTGCAGATACAGAATCAGTGTTTGATGGAGAAATTGCATCACAACCACTTTCCAGGATACATGGAAATAAGACATCTGAGGCTACGTTTGAGCGTGATATCTCATCAGCAACTTTAGAATCAAGACTTTTATTGTCATCTCCAATTCTTCCATGAAATAGACTTTGAGGTATCTTCCTCTGATGGGATGAAATATCTGAGGAGCTAGGTGCTTGTGAATGAGAACTTCCGGTTAGATTTGGTTGCTCGTGCATGGGACATACAAGTTCAGTCGATGTTGATTCATCATCACAAGGTTCAAATCCTTGAATAGAAGCTGAAGATGCTACTGAATTGCAGCTATATATCTGTTTCTCTCTAGGAACTCCCACTCTGGACTCCTGTATGATCTTTGAAACAAGTTTTTGCTGAGCATTTGTGTGCTCAGTATCACGAATGATTGGACCAGGAGTCTGAATTGACCCACAAGGACCGGTAGTCCTTCCAGGAGTCTGAATCAAATCATTGCTGTTTATCATTCCAGGAGCCTGACTCAACTCACTAAGACCTTTTGTCCTTCCTGGAATCTGAGATGTTGTGCCCGGGACTATCATCGTCACAGGATTCTGAATTGGTTCGACCTTTTTACTAATGTTTACATTATCAGGAGCATCGATGTCTAGTTGCTTAATCCTTCCTGGGAATGATGGTCTTCTGAGAAGACTGGGTGGGGTTTGTAGTCTCGGATTTGCAGGAAGGCCATCTTCCATACATCTAGCAGGGCCAGAGGGTGGATTCCCCTCTTGCCTAGGTTTACTCTTGGAAGATGCGTCAATGACGGGTAGCTGCACAGATAACTAGCTCATCAGTCATCCATAAACAAACCAAACAAGCCTAGTATATCCCACCCAGAGGTGGGGTCTAGGAGCAGTAAGATGCACGCAGACCTAACCTATACCTCAAAAGTGTAGAGCAGCTATTTCCTTGAACACCCCTGACTTATGAACGGTGTGCGAAGAGAGAAATGGATATAAAATAGTTACAGGGTAAGAAGGAAATTATTAGAGAATGAAGAGTTGTACCTGATACTTCAAGGAATTTGATCCGTGAGTTCTCTTCCTTGGCTCAACATTGCTCTTCTCCGGTGGTGTTTCAGGGCTAGCCTTCCACCCAGGATACACAGCAGTTGGTTTGGGCAATTTACTTGGTGTTTCCGTGTCAGTATGTTGGGTAGTCTTCAAACGGCCACCTCGCATTGGTGAACTGTTTTCCCTAATTTTTCCTTCTTTCATAGCCATCTTGGTATGTTTGACAGATTTCACTTGCTTAGCTTCAATATTTGATTTTGGTTCATTTAGTATCGTTTTAGCCACCTCTTGCTCGTCCATTTTGACGGCACACGCGTCAATTTCATCATGTTCAGTACCTTCTAGAAATGGATCAATCCCATGCTCATCATCTCCAGAAACCGTATTAGTAATAGTGGCTCTATGGTCACACGTGCAAGTACCAGTCTGAATGTTTTTCTCACTTGATATGACACTATCCTTGTCACTGAAAGAACTGTTACTACTTTGGCTTTCAGATCTCCTTTTTCTTATATCATGAGCGCTATTAAGGGGCTTTGAAGGTGAAGTAATATGAAGACCAATTGAAGATCGATATTGTTCAACATACGGCTGCAGATATGGATGTTTTAGGATTTCAGATGCCTAACGAAGTCAAAATAAGATAAGTTAGAATGATAAACAGATGATCTTAGTAACTGATGGATGAAATGAAGAAAAGGCTTACAGTGGGACGATGTTCTGGGTTCTTACGGAGCATTAATTTAATAAGGATTTTTCTGGAAAATGGAAAAAGAGAGAACTAGTGTTACTCCAGAAGTAATATTTTGAATTGGTGTCAAGACTCTGCTCCTTTGCACATATATATACAACTATTCTACATAGCTTTATCTTGTATTATAAATTCAATAAAAATATTGATTGCAGACGATAAATAGATACTTCACTCGGTGAACAGCAAGGAAGACAGAAAGGAAACCAGTTTTCATTCATGTTGTAATGATTTTTGCCAACCAGTTTTTACTAACAAGGAAATGTGTAGAAAGGCACCACGATGGTTTATTATAAAACAAACTTGATCACTTCCATCAACATATTAAGGTACATGCTTAACAAAATGAATCTAAAAGCTTTAAGAGAATGATAGTAGGTGCAAGCTTAATCGTATATTTCACTCTTATGAAAAATATGATACAAGGAACCCTATTAATAACCAAGCTACCACCTAGAAAAAAGGAAACTAAGAAATAGACCATAACTAGGAGACCCTTTAAAAAATAATTACGTAATAAGGCGACTCCTAATCCAGACCTGATTGATCCAAATACCCCTTATTCTAGACCTAATCGATATCCTAATATCGTTTACACTCCCCTCAAGCTGAATGATACAGATTGTACAGTCCAAGTTTGTGAACAAACTTTTCAAAGTCGGGTTTGAATAAGGCTTTTGTGAGAACGTCCGCTGTTTGTGAGAAGTAGAAATGTATTCTACTGAAATGACCTGTGCACCAATCTTCTCTTTGATATAATGTCTACCCATCCTTACATGCTTAGTACGATCATGATGAACAGGATTTAGACAAATTCCTATGGCGGACTTGTCACAAAAAATACTGATAGGTCTTTTGAATTGGGTACCCAGTTCTTCAAGAAGTATCTCTAGCCATAATGCCTCATCTACTCCTCGGGATAACGATCTAATTTCAGCTTCTGCACTACTCTTAGCCACTAGAGGCTCTTTTTTGCTCCTCCAAGTGACTAAATTTCCCATTACAAAACTACAGTAGCTCGATGGATCTACTATCTTTGGGTGAACAGTTCCAAGAAGCATCCATGAAAACATCAATTGTATTGTTCCCTTCATTTCTCCTGAAGAATAGTCCGTTACCTGGGGTTCCCTTTAGATACCGTAGGATCCTATACACTGCCCCCATATGTGTTGTAGTAGGTGAGTGCATAAATTGGCTTACACGACTGACGGGGAAAGCAATATCTGGTCGGGTGTAAGAAAAGTAGATTAATTTTCCCACTTAACCTTTGATACCGTCCTTTGTCAACCGGTTGATCATCACTGCAATCTCCCAGTTGTTCGTTAGCATTCATAGGAGTCTCAACCGGTTTGCTTCCCAACATCCCAGTTTCTTTTAGTAGATCCAGTATATATTTTCTTTGAGTTCAGAGTTTCTTGCGATCTCCATACCCAAGAAGTAACGCAACTGACCAAGATCCTTCATTTCAAATTCTTTGGCCAGGCTTTGGTTCTTCAAAATCTGAATTACGGAGAAAACACTGCATCTCTTTGGACAAATGAGAGTATCCAACAAAATTATGAATGGGATGTTTAGTGCATGATCTGGAACCTTTTCTTAAAGCAATTGGAACATTAAGACTATCATTCTAATGGTTAGAACTCGTACCTAATTTCAAGTCAGATGGACAACAGGATCCTCAGGATCTTTATTTTCTACTTCAACAACCTTTTTTCTTCTAGAATAAATCTGCTCTAATTGTTCTGTAGAATTCTTTGTTTATTTCACATATCTCAAAAGAGGGAGGTACAAAGGTTATATATACACAAAGAATATGAGAAGAAAAGGAAAGGATTCCGAAGATATTCACAGCAGCAAATTACAAATGAGATATTACCCATAATCTTCAATTCCTATTTTACAATGATATCAAGTATCTTCAAAGATATTGAGCATCTTAACATCTATGCTCCAGCTTGTTACAAATAAAAGAGATTCGCGAACCACGTAATGCTCTGGTAAAGACATCAACAAGTTGTCTTCATGTTCGAACAAAGGGAGTTGAGATGATTCCATCTTCTAGTTTTTCACGAGTGAAATGGCAGTCAACCTCGATGTGTTTTGTTCTTTCATGAAACAAGAGATTGTTTGCAATGTGGATAGTCGCCTCATTATCACAATATAGGTTCATTGGTTTAGATTGAGCAAACACAATTTCACCTAGCAGATTAGGCAACCATATCAGCTCGCAAGTGGTTTGGGCCATAGCCCTGTATTCAGATTCAACACTTGACCAGGAAATGACATTATGTTTCTTGCTTTTCCATGAAACTAGATTCCCTCCAACCAACACACAATAGTCTGTTGTAGACCGCCTAGTAGTAGGATCCCCATTATAGTCGGCATCTATGAACCCTTCTATGACATGATGACCATGATTTTGATAAAGGATACCAAGACCAGAAGCACCCTTTAGGTATTTTAGTATATGCCTAACAACGTCCCAATATGGAGTTCTCAGAGATGACATAAACTGACTTACTACTATCACTGGAAAAGCGATGTCAGGACGTGTAATCGTCAAGTAGTTTAGCTTTCCCACGATTCTTTTGTACTTTTTTGGATCCTCAAGTAGATCTCTATCGTCCGCTTTCAATTTCATATTTGGAATCATTGGGGTCTCACAAGGTTTTGTTTCAATCATACCATTGTCATTCAATATATCCAAACAATATTTCCATTGAGACAAACATATCCCTTTCACGAGATACTTCAATTCCCAAGAAGTATATTAAAGGACCTAGGTCCTTTGTTTGAAACCGAGATGTAAGGAAATCTTTTAGCTTCTTGATCCCAGTCTTATCACACCTAATAATCACAATGTCATCAACGTATACCACTAGTAGAATACATCCGAAAGATGATGAAGTAAAGAACACAGAATGATCATAAGAGCTCCTCTATAAGCCAAACTCGGTCACTACGGCATTAAACCGTCCAAACCAAGCACGAGGGAATTGCTTTAAACCATACAATGATTTACGCAGTTTACAGACTCTACCACTCCCCCTGAGCAACAAACCAAGATGGTTGCTCCATATAGACTTCCTCATGTAAATCACCAAGCAAGAAGGCATTTTTCACATTTAGTTGGTGTGGTACCTAGTCGTAAGCAGCGACTAATGAAACAAACAGACGGATGGAGGGTACCTTAGCCACAGGAGAAAATGTCTCGTGGTAGTCGACCCCATAAGTCTGAGCATATCCTTTGGCTACCAATCGGGTTTTCAGACGAGCCACATATCCATCTGGATTAACTTTCACAGTGAATACCCATTTACAGCCAATTGCCTTACCAAATCCATGTATCATTATGATCGAGAGCATTCATCTCATCAATCATAGCATCCCACCATCCAGGATGGGCTAAAGCTTCACCAACCGTTTTAGGAACAGATAAAGAATCAAGTGTAGAGATCAAAGGACGAGAATGTGAAGAAAGTTTATCATAGGTAACAACAGAAGAAATAGGGTAAGTACATGAGCACTTACCTTTTTGAAGAGCAATGGGAACATCAAGATCAAAACCTATGTATCGGAAGGTGGTGGATCACTCGAATCAAGAGGATCGTCTTTATGCAGATCTGCAGACGATGATGAAGATGGTGTTTGGTCGGGATCTGATGTAGGTCGTTGCCACCTATTATATACATGAACTATCGGTGGTTTAGTAGGATTTTGGGTCTGTGTCGAGTCGGATGGGGTAGTAGACTCAAGAATGGCATACACCAACAAATCATCACTATCTCTTGGGTTGCAAGGAGCAGACATAAGAAAAAAGGGTATAATCTCATGGAATGTAACGTCTCATGATACAATGTATCGATTAAGCATGGGGGAAAAACACTTGCACCCTTTTTGAAGTTGAGAGTAAGCAAGAAAGACACATTTCAGCTTTGGATACAACTTAGTTATGTGAGGCCGGGTATCGCGGACAAAATAGGAACTACCAAAGATCTTTGGATCGACACAAAAAAATGATTTTATAGGAAACAAAATTGGGAAAGGACTTTTACCATCCAAGACAGCGGAAGGCATTCGGTTGATAAGAAAACAAGCGGTAGCAAACGCATCAGCCTAAAAGACTTTAGAAACATTCATGTGAAATAATAGAGCCCAAGCCACCTCTAGGAGATGACGATTCTTTTGTTCCGCAACCCTATTTTGGGTTGGTGTGTCAACACAGGAAGACTCATGAAGAATGCCATTTTGAATCATTTATGATTGAAATGTTTAGGACAAATATTCTTTTGCATTATCACTACGAAGAGTTTGAATAAAGACTTTAAACTGGGTTTTAATCTCAGCATAGAGTGAACAAAAATGTGTGAATACCTCAGATCGATTTTTCATAAAGTAAAGCCAAGTAGTGCGAGAGTAATCATCAACAAACTTAACAAAATACTTAAACCAAGTTTTGAAGTAACAGGACATGGTCCCCAAACATCAGAATGGACTAACTCAAATGGGGATGAGGTCCGCTTATTCCAGACTCTAGGACTTAAATGAATACGCTGATGTTTGGCAAACTGACACTGTAGAGAAGGTAAATAAGAAAACTCAAGACACATCTTCTTCAGATTCTGTAAAGATGGATGACCTAATCGACAATGAACTTCAAGTGGAGACGATGAGTTGGAACAAGTCAATGAATAAGGTACTTGATGTTCAAATATGTATAGGCCATCAGTCTCCCGCCCTCTACCAATAATCCTCTTCGTCGACAAAGACAAAAATCAAGAAAGAATGAGACAACAATTTAAAGCACGGGCAATTTTGCCGACTGATAACAAATCGAACGAGAAATTAAGTAGCCTCAATATGGAAGATAACGATACAGACGAGGTAAGATTGATGGTGCCAGAACCAAGGACATGTGTGGTAGACCCGTCGGCAATTGTGACATGTGATGGGGATTTGCGTTTATTGAAATTAGAAAAGATGGTGGGATTATCTGTCATGTGATCT